AAGCAGTGGTATCAACGCAGAGTACTAGCACAACTACGTTCCTTCGATATGCACTTCTTGATCCAAGCGTACATTTCATTCTTTCGAGTGCACAAGGCAATTCGTAATAGACGAAGTTGTATCAATTGCACTTGACTGCTATTCTCCGGTAAGCCGCAAAGTTCATGTAGTCTTTTCCGCAATATAAAGTTTGGTACGATGCGGTAACGTAGGCAGCGCTTAAGAAAGTGGATCGTTTGCCGTGCTGATACGATCTTTTGTCTCAGCGACAGCGCTTCCTTGACGAGTCGACGATATCCGGCTGGTACATCACGAAGTAATCGAAAAGTGCGACTGTCTTTAAATCTCGGCATGATGAATATTGTGTTGATTTCCCACGAACCTTTTTCAAACAGCAGGATGCAAATCCAAGCGTTGATGCGAGCTTTCGTCTTTTTGCCGACGATGTTTTTAGAACTCTAGCACGGATTCGCAAAAGTAGGGTGCACTCAAACATTAGTAAAACGCAGAAAGAGGCCATAAAACAGATTCAGAAAATGATAGACGCTGCAGAGATACGACTATCAACAAGTGACAAAGGAGGCGAATTTGTTGTAATACCTCATGATCTAGATATTGCGTTGACAGAAAGACATCTCCAAGATGCCACGCTTTACAAGATATCTACGAAAAATGAGTTTCAAAAACAATATCGCAATCTGAATAGAGAATGGACGAAAATAGCAAAGTCAGCAAACCTATCGCCTGATATCATCACCCGTCTTAGAATTGATCTGCCAACCTGCCCAGTACTTTACCTTTTGATCAAGACGCATAAAATCCAATCCGCGCGCGATTTCGCATCTAGTGACCCCGCAACTTATAAGGTCAGACCAATAATCAGTTGCGTGGGTGGACCTACAGATCGGATAGGATGGTACCTGAGTAATATTTTAGTGCAGTTACTCCAATTCATTCCTTCCCATCTAGGCAATACAAAGATGTTCTTAGACCGTCTACGCGAGACACGTATCAGCGCTTCTTACACCATGGAGTCATTCGACGTTAGCGCGTTATACACGAATGTATCTAATGACTCCGCAATGCAGGCCGTTTGTGAACTTCTGATAGAGCACGAGCAAGCAATAAGACTTTTCGGACTTTCTATCGCGCAAATAATGGCCTTGTTAAAAGCGTGTCTAGAATGCAACATATTCCGATGGTCAAGAAAGTATTTCTCGCAGATTAGAGGATTGGCCATGGGTCAGAGATTGGCTCCAACGCTGGCGGTAATTTTTATGGCTAAAATTGAAAGACCAGTACTGCAGTTGAGTCCTTTGCTTTACTGCAGATACATCGATGACTGTTTCATCATATGTGCTACTCAAGCGGAAGTTGATGAATGCTTTGAGTTGATGAACAGGCAATCGGAACATATAAGACTTACTCGGGAAAAGCCTACTAACGGATGGTTGCCTTTCTTAAACGTACAAGTCAATATCAATGATGGCAATCAGAAAACGAAGTGGTATCGAAAGCCCACTAGCAAGAACATTCTCATCCACTCCCGCTCAGCGCATCCTCTACAGACCAAAAAAGCAGTGATCAAAAACATGTTTCGTACAGCTGCAAAGGTGTGTAGTGGACGAGAGGAGAAGATAGAGTCGTTGGCCGTTGCACGTAAGATAGCTTTATCTAACGGTTATGAAAACAGGATGACGCATTGTAGGGCCCAACAAAGCAGCTTTGTAGAAAGGAGAGCATCACCCGCAGCAGAGAAGATACCTTTCTGTATACCCTTTATCTCCGATGAAGTGAGCACCGCCATTCGGCGATGTCTGAGGAGAGCAGGGTTGAACAACTCAGTTTTGGTAGTGGACATGCCTCCGAACAATTTGAAACGCATTCTTATTCGGAATCGCATGTACGATCGTAATTGCACCACGTCAATCTGTCTAGTATGTCCCACAGCAAAGGACGGCGACTGCATGAGCGCGGGAGTTGTCTACCTCATCTCATGCAAAGATTGCGGAGCCGAGTATATCGGTGAAACAGCACGTCCCTTATGCGTACGCATCAAGGAACATCTCAATGGCAAAGAAAGATCACGCTTATCCACTCCACTGGGCGCCCATAGAGTGCAAGAGCATGAAGGAGTGAATTTTGAAGTAAATGTAGAGATCTTAGCGCGTGAACCTCAAACATCTACCCGCAAGACTTTGGAGGCGTTTTGGATTCATTTCAAACAACCCAAAATGAATCGCAAAGATGAATGCCTCTCTATCACACGCGAGCTCGCACCGTATCTAGATCAGATTTTCTGATCCGGTGAAGACATGTTCAATCATTCACTTACGTTATCAGTTAGCGCTCGTTTATACTCGAGAATTTTACCGGCGGTCGAAAAGGTGAGTATTGCGTGTGGCAGCTTGCCTGTGATCCGAAAGAAAGCTTAGAATTTTGTTTGTGAGGCTGAGGAGATGCTTGATCGGATAGTTTTATAGATTGTTGTCGCCCATTTCAGGCTCTGAAGAAGGCGACATAGCCGAAACGTATTAAGAATGTAATATCTCTTGAACGATTTGTTTTAACGTTTAACACTGAATCAACTAAACATGTTTCGACAATTCAATCAGTTGCGCATTCAATCTCTCTATATATCAAGCAGAAGATCTGTAAGTTTGTTTGTGCACATTCGGGTGCAGGTGGTGCAAGTTGCGCAGGGTGTGCAGGTTGTGCAGGTTGTGCAGGGTGTGAGGGTGTGCAGGTTGTGCAGGTTATGCAGGTAGTGCAGGTTGTGCAGGGTGTGCAGGTTGTGCAGTGTGTGCAAGTTGTGCAGGTTGTCCAGGGTGTGCAGGTGTGCAGGTTGTGCAGGGTGTGCAGGTTGTGCAGGTTGCGCAGGTTGTGCATGTGCAGGGTGTGCAGGGTGTGCAGGCTGGGCAGGGTGGACAGGATGTGCAGGATGTGCATGGTGCGCAGGGTGTGCAGGGTGGGGAGGGGGTAAGTGAACATGCTGATTCGAATACATTATTGACAGGATCGGGCGGAGAGGGTTTGCCAGCCCGTCTTTTAATACAAAAAACACTCGTAACTGGCTCCAGAGGCGCTTGGAAGATAATGAAGGCAGATCTTAAAGGCAGCGTCCAGGCAGATCCGAGCTCGACGACTACGCCCACATTCCTCAGACGGCCAACCCTTATGAACGAAATCTCCTCAGCCTTGACGTGTTTTCACATGACCAACACAGTCGAACTTACAGCGTTTACCTGTTAATACTTGCTTTCGACAAGGATAACATCGGAAGCGCTCGTCTGGGTTTTCCCAAAATAGCCCCAAAAGGTGGTTTTTTGAGAAATTCACGCTTTTTGAGTTCCATATTCGAAATCAGCGCTATGGAAAGGCCTGGATAACATAAAACTATAGAAGTCGAGAATCTGCCTGGACGCTGCCTTTAAATCAGTAGACTTTGATAACTGTAACATTGTGAGAAAAGGATTCTCAAACAATTAGATAATGACTTTCTGTACCAGCGAAACAAAAAGTAGAGTTACCGCTTTTTTCAAGCTCTTAAGCAGCCCTATTCATAGCAAGAATATAAAGTGTTTTCCAGCAAATAATACTTTGTGTGACAATTTTTTGTGAATAAGCTCTGGGTTTCAATATTCTCATGTATTCAGCAAATGCGTCTAGAATCTTATCTTCAAATTACTTCGTCCTACTCGGCAAAAATCCAAGGTTTTTGAATCTCTTGGAATCTTTTCCGCTGCGCTCAAGTTCATTTACGATTTACGGGATTCTACTGAAAGGAAGTATAAATAAAGCAAATTCCAAACTTACCTCATTCTCAGCAAATGACAACTTTGATTTAGCAATCTCACAAACAGCTCCACCATAACCTTCTTTGCACTCGCAATATGCCTAAAGTCAATCAAACACTTTGAGATCGCTCCATTCCATACACAAGTGGAATGCTGCGCTTCTTTGTTTACTATTGCTTCAATGGATATTCAAGCTCATCAATTCTTCATTGCTTATTCTTTCCGCGCATTGGTCTCATATTTGTAAAGGCCATTTCGAAGTTAAAGGTAGATTTTAGATCAAACTTTATTCATGCATACGGGCGGAGTGATGTCGTAAGCCACCTCCTTATGGATCGATATGATTTCTCAGAAATGTAAGCTGGAGAATCTGGAATTTCAAAGAGGGGTAAATGGTGTGCCAATTACCACGATTCGTTCTCAAATAATTTGCTTTATTGCCTTTATTCAGCAAACTTCAATCTGGGACTGTGGGAATCGAAAGGGAGTAGGACCTAGCATATTGATTGCAGATAGCATGCGCGGACGGTGCAACAAAACAATTCAGTCGCAAGCACGATGCGTTTTCATAAGGCAAGTACATCCTGAACATATGCGTAATCTTCTTTCGACATTTCGAAGCAAATCTAATACAGCCGTTCGCGGCGCAAGTGACTCGATGGGCGGACCCTCTAAGGTATGTCAGAACTCACTATTCGCGATGGGGTGCGCAGTGCCCTCCGAGATGTCTTGCCCATTATAAAGCTTTTACAGAGATCAAGCTCCTTTTGTTCTCCGGAACTTTTTTGCTCCTTCATCACGAAACGACAACTTCTCAATGTTGCGGCATGATATTATGACGGGCTCATGCAAAAGTTCAGTTTCAGTATTCTGTCTGTTACGACCTCTTCAGGGGGGTTTGCCGCCGCTTCGCGAAAGATCCTAAAACGCCAGTCCTCGCGCTGACCGGCCCTCTCACACCTGCTATATATGCACCCATTCTCGCACATAAGGTCAGTTTCTCGCAAGTGCCAACTTGTGAGCGGCCGACTTTCAACATCCATCTTCAATTAGCCGGTCGCGCAGCGGAACCTCGAACGCGAAGTCCAATATCAACCACGCTATGCGGGATAGCCCAGTGCGCTCCTACGCCTGCCAACGCCGGTGGTGAAGCCTCAAGTTTTCCGACCTACTAGTCACTAGGATTTTACGTCATGATCGGTTGTACTCACCTTTATGTTTAAAGAAGGTAATTTCTTTCGGCCACTAACGTGAGGACTGAGAAGGCTTTTTTGAGCAGTTTTTTCATGCCATTACACACCTCGGCATGAAGATCGCTAGTATGATAGTTCAGACATATAATAGTCCTGAGCTTCACCTCAATACTTATTTGGTCCTCAATTTGAGAGTTATACTGCCTGCTTTGCTGCACGGGGAAAGCTTGGGAATAGCAAATTTCCCACCGTGGACAAAAATCCTGACAAACTCTGAATGATTACTTTATTCTCCTTCAAAACAGCTTTTGTGTCGTACTTTTCAAAGCACTTGTGTGGGTATCCACCACATGCTGCTCATTCATGTACGCTTTTCAAAAGCGATGTGTTTTAAAAAAAATTTCTTAGCAACAAAACTCTCAGTTTCTTCGCCTGTGTTTCGCAGCTATCTCAAGTTTTCAGTTGTTACGGTTGGCCATTATAGCGAAGCACGCCACGCTCGCCCAAAGTGTTATGATATAAGCATAGTGCTCACATAGATTACAACCACGCATCGCGTGCTTTTCGCATCGCCGTCTGCTCTCGATGACCTCGGTACTCACTAATATAGCATGCACTTACAGTGGCAATGCTTCTGCTTTGCAAAAAAAAAAACCAACGACTTCATCTGCAGAAACGTTTCATAGATAACAAAGTGATATTCATGTTAAGTAAAGGTAAAGTGGTTGCTAGTGAGGGGAGGGGGAGAGGAGGGTATCCGGACTTTTGTAGCCATATAATAGCAGACTTTCTATGTAAAAAAGAATCGAAGCTGGGAGCGAAAAAAGGAATCTGCAAAGTGTGGTACTACTCCGAAAGCAGCAAAAACCCAGCTTTCAGCCCGAGGGGGCTCTCCAAGCGTTTTTGGGTACAGCGCTCGGGCCATACAATGCAATTTTCTTCGCTTACCTGTGCTTATTATTCGCACCGATTCCGGAACTGCAGCTTGCAGAGTCTAAAAAGACGAAAACGGCGTATATCAAACGGGCTTGATCTTGAATTCGGGCATGCCGCCGAGGTTAAGGCGCAAAATCGTGTTGGGGCCCCACGTCTTCACTGCGTGCGATATACGCACTCTGGTCATTGATTGAAGAGGAAAGGGAGTGAGGGAGCAAATTGCTTTCCCTTTCCTCTTGAAATTGGGGTGTCCCAGTGGTCGCTTCTGAAGCGGCTTTTTCGGTCATTGCGCATTGAAGAAATTCTACTTGGATAAGAGCTTGATTATGGCGGGCGCGGGTTGGGTCAAACTATGCGGCGTATGCGGCGTACGTCGCGCGGTCTGGCCCAACTCCATGTTTTTCTTGTGATCGAAAAACTTTTATTCTCGGTGTCGTCACGTTCAAAGTGAAATTTGGGGGTTTTGAAATAAGTCAACATATTCGCGCCCTCCAAGAGGCACGATTGAAAAACCCGTTTTTTTCAGAACTATTTTCATAAATAAAAAAAGAGGACTTCTCTTATTCATCAGTTGGAAGTTCAGTTCTTAGCGTCTTGAGCAAAGACTGCGTCAAACTGATTGTGAGATCAAATAACGTCGGGGTGCAACAACATCAGTCTAATTTGTCATGAGACAGGTCTGCTCACCTTCAACATTGGAATTGAATATTGCTTTTCTAATAAATGATACTGCCGTTAAATTGAGTCTGACATACTTGAAGGTTTTAGAGGAGTTGTCTGCACTGAAACATCTTTGTTGAAAGCAAATAATGCTAGTGATAAGACTCTGCAAGAGTGACAAGAGTGCCATATGATTTTGGAACTACAAATCATAATACGCAGAATAGATGTATCTAACTCTGCAGTCGCAGCGGGCGTCAGGCTGCTTTTTGTCACACTAATTTTGGTTTATAAAAACAAATTATAAAATTCAAGGGCTTTGACGACGTCTGCGATTGTTCCTTCTTCTCATTGTAAACGATCTTGGTGCTAAATCGTTAGATACGTTGCAGGTAAGTCTTATCTTCATTGATCAAGTATAGGTAGATAAATAATTTTTCCGTCGCACCTTCAACACTTGTAGGAATCGCTCAGATCCCACTCAATTTTCCTTTGATTTTTTTCGCAGAACTTTTAACTTTACATGCCAACCGTATGCGTAACCGTGCCTATCGAAATATCGATAATCGCAAAACAAACAATTGAAAAATAGCGGTCTGAATTGAATAATTGAATAGCGGTCTTTCTTGGCAGTTGGAAATGTGCTTTGATAAATTACTTCTGCGTCTTATTTCCGAGAATTCCATCTCAGCGTTAACAGACTTCATCTGAATTTTTTGAGCAGTGTAACTCTTCTTTCTCTTTAAGGCTGCGATATGATTTTTAAGTTGTGGTTTTTTGAAGGGTCCTTTTCTGAAATAAAAGCTGTTCTTGAATGTTTCGTTGTTACCTGATCAACAGCCGATACGCATGTCCCGTTAGGCCCACATTGCAGGTTTGTAAGTTTACATTGATCAGGAGATTTCCAGCAAGTAGGACCCTGCACACTTGGATATAACGGGAATGGATTCAAAGAATTATAAATTCTACATACAACAGAAGCTGCTTGCTTTGCACTTACAGTCCAATTGGATTTACATGTGCACCGGTATCCTTCTGGTCCTGGAAAGCAATCGCTGGTACCAAGCTCATGACAATCTTCACAAGATCTTTGTATAGAGGGGGACGCTTCCAGGTTTTTAAGCACTTCTTCTACGTTGTCCTCTGAACAGATGCGATCTATGCGATAGTCTCCCATGTTACTCCATCGGGTAATTTATTGATACCCCTCAAAAGCGGCATAGAAAGAGCAAGTGTAGTCGATTTTTTGTAAAGGAATATCTAACTGAAGAATTTGTCTTTCGTAGTTTGTCTGACGTTCAAAACTTCAACAACATTGTAAGCGAGTATCTTTGCTTACAAAAAATCTTTTAATGTGACAAGGGAGAGCGAAAAACCTGAACAGCAAAGAGACTGAGACGAAAAACAACGTAATGTTAGCGGATGTGATAATTGGCACGGAGTTGAAACTTTCTGAGGTCCTAGCGAGAAAAACCTCGGTTAAAGTAGGTGTGGCTGCTCCCTGTAGTTATGAAATTCTAACAATTTGAAAAGTAAAGTGAGAGGAAAAGAGATACGACTTATGAACATGTTTCAAATATTCCTTCAATAGCCACTAACGCTCTTACTGTCCTAAATTGCTCTTTTTTTACAGCAATATGAATGAATATTAGAAGCAAAACTTGTAAATATTAGTGCGATTACGCTGCTCAAAGATATGCATATAGTCCACTACTTCGTGCGTCTCATCGCTTACGCTGAATGATAATCTTGTAGACGACTGCGTCAGCATAAAATTTAAGATAAAATAAAGAGCACATACCGTAATTGCGGCTGCAGTTCACATATGTGGGATGTGGCAGCAACGATCCCTTTGCGTTACAGGTCACTGTGATATTTCGTGTAACTCCGTCATCATCGCAAACAACACTAAAAAATCGGCTGTTACTTACACTGTACAGTTACGAAGAATGCTGCAAAATTAAGTCGTTCTTTATAGCGACGTTTTTTGCCCCTTTTATTATTCACGTTCAGAATTGCTATATTCGAAAATGTTTAGAGCTCTTGCAGTACAAGCAGAAAATACTGGTGTACTTGATTGAAAACGAAATTTTGTGGAGATGTCACATCCACGTTCAGGATAGAAAAATGTACAATTCCGGCTCTTCGCATAACCACAGATCGGAAGCTCGTCTTAGTTGTAAGATTTAGAGAGTGCACTCTAAAAGTACGCTTGACTAACCACGTGGACATTTCCCAATGGGGTGGAGGACATTAGGTCGCCGAAAAAGGGCGGTCCGCGGTCATTTGCGACAAATACGCATCCTTGTACATGCGCGGACATGCGTTCCTGTATGGAATTCGCGCGGGACTCCTCCAAATAGAGGAGGATAGAGAATAGAGACTATTGGAAGACGGTCGTAAGGCGCGCACTGACTGGTTTTAACTAACTACGAGAAGCAAGAAATAAGTTCAAATTTATTTTAATACTATCGGATTTCAACTGATTATCCTTCTTTATACTTTTTGATGTACTGACAAAAATCTCGCAATCTGAGAACCTTGCTTTTGCAGAGAACTGACCCAGTCGGGCAATAAGGCTTAGAGGACGCGCGTCTTTCAACATACACCCGAGACTATTTGGAAGAGACTCACGAAAGCTCACGATATTTGGCAAAGAATTGTGATCAACTGTGTGAATTACTGCTCAAACATATTAAAACACAATGCCTGTTTGTCTGCTCTCCGTTTTAATGTTTATTTTGTGTCTATGTCCTTATATTTGTAATGACTGGATAGAAAGTTTCGTTTATAAGCGGATGCGGACCAGGCTTAGCGCGCACACAGCGCGGCGGGTAAGGAGAATCGCAGGTTCTTTCGCCATCGACTGGATAGAGACTATTTAATCGATGTTATCGAATTTTGCACGTTTTGAATTACAAGATTCGCAGATTCGCACTGGGCATACGTGAGCATGCTGATAACGGATATATTAATTTCTAAACTATCTGTTGACTCCATCACTTTTCTCGTTTGCAAATTTTGAGCTGTATGTCAGGGAGTTGCCAAAGGGGTCTATACTAATACTTTGTCAATTTTCAGCATCATTAATTATCTTTATCGATTTTATCGATTTTTTACAAACTGTGCGCTGCGGGCTGAAGTTATCACGGAGAGGTGAATATTGACAGATACTTTATCGACAGTGCCGGGCGGATCGGGGCACTCCAGCAATAGTCATACAAAAGTTCATACGCTGCTCTAATGTTGGCGTCTGAAAGGACGTTCCGCTCATCCTTCAAGCTCTAACAATGGCGATAGGATCTTGTTTAGCGAGCGACACTCCGCTGTGATCAATAACTAATACTTTCTGCTTCAAACCAATATAGTACGTAAAGATCGCGGTTATGATGCAAGATCCCAATGCGAAGAAGTCAGAACCTGCTTGAAAAACTTTCTTGAGGTAAGCGAAGAACGCATTCGTAAGGTTCGCAGCGACTTTGATGCTCTGACGGCTGGTTGCAACTTTAGGCTATGGTCGGGTACCATTTGCAATACCATTTGCAACCTTGAAAATGTGCTCGCTCAGTGTAGAATCTTTTACAAGAGAACGATACTTGGTGTCCGTGGCCTTTTGAGATAAAATGTATACATTTACACTCGCATGGAAAGCTGATTCCGTATCTGACTTCCGTTTCTGTCAATCGTTTGCTCCAAGTTTGACCGGTCAAATTGCGATTGGAACGCCAATACCGCCGGTACGCTGTGGGTGTAGTGGTCAATGCGATAGCCTACAAGTTGATGCAGGTGTAAATTCGAATCCTTTTTGTTTTTCAGTTTTGCGTCTTATGTGAGTGTTCCCTATATTAGTTCTAGAAGGCGTTGTAAAAATGAAAATGAATGGAGAATGAATGCATGTTTTGTTCGAATAAATGCTCGAATTACAATCAGTGGATATATTTTTGGCCAAACAGTAATCATTTTTCCCATTTCACATTTTTTGAAGAGTAAGAGCATGCACCTCAAGAGTCAGACATCCAAAAAGCAGCTTAATCGAGGGGAATGCACAATTGGAAAGCACAAAAAGACTGAAACCTGCCCCTGCATTAACTTGCGAGGATATCGCGCTAACCATATCACCACAGCGCACCGGCGACATTGGCGTTCCGTTTGTGTCTTCCTTGGGCGGACTAATTATTCACAACTTCTTTTAAAAAATGATTAACAGAAACGGAAATTAGATTCAGAATCAGCGTTCCAAGACGAGTGTAACGGTATATATTTCGTCTCAGAAGGTCACTAAGACCAAGTATCGTTACTTAGTTTGTTGGAAATAAATCATAGTTCGATTATATTGGTGCATTCCGTGGTTCAGATTTTGATTAGCCCCGGAATTTTTTGTCATTAGGTGGTTAACAGGCAAAAGCCATGCAACTCTAAAAAGCAAAATAAGCAAAGCTTTGTCAAGTGAATTTTACGAGGATGGTTATGTAAGATTGGAATAATCGGTAATCAAAACATACCTGAGGCTCTCTCCAATGTCCATTATGTGATTTGATGGCAATACTAATTTTGTCGCGGAATCGTAGGATGCATAATCACTAAGATTGCAACGCATTTTAGAGCAATACTCTGTAACAACAATTACTGCGCGCATGTTCATTCCGCTGAAGTAAGTTTAAAAGCAACTTACTCGGTGTTTTACACACTCCATACACATCACCAAAACGTGTATTTGGTTTTGTCGTGTTCATCACAGCTAGGAATAATCGCGTTGTTCCTTTCATTGTTACAATACGAACAGAGCCACTTTTCACAAAATATCTTGTGTCCTTTTCGTTCACGAAGAATTTTTCAGGAAAAGGCTTTCGCGTATCGCTGAATAATTCTAGTGTCTAGTGTTGATCGTCTAATGCAAAACTCTGGTTTTAATTTGCACGATATTTGGGGATGCGCATCGATCCCGAACTTGCAAACGTACTCTGGCTTTTATTGCAACTTTATATGATGAAAGAGCAAAGCAAATAAGGCCTGATATCATAAGTTTTCTGCGATTTGCGTTTTCTTCTTCATACCTCTGATTTTACGCCTTCACAATGGTCGTGAAGCACATCATATATAGCAGCTGAAACTTCTGGATGAGGGGCCAGACTCACATTATACAGTGCTGGAAGTTGCAGACGCAATATATTTGAATTTTTTGCACGAGAAAAGCCATTTTCCCAAAGCTAGTCAGGCTTCTCAAGGTAACCTAAGGGCCGCATGCACTAACATCCCCGCGGGGAGGGGATCGCAGCTTAAAATAAAGCTTCATATTTCGAAACTCCAGATACCTGGATTTCACGTTGTGCACCTATCCGTAAGTATTCCTACCACCCTTCACTATGAACATGTTGAACAGGAGCGAGAAGCTGTACAAACTGCATTTTTCAGCTTTTGTATGATCCCTGATGATCCCCGGCGCTTTTCTTTAACAAGTTTCGGACCGGTGCTGCACATGGTGCAGCACGCGACTTTGAAGGATCTTTTTCACGTTTACAGGAGGTTTTCTTTTTGTCCAAGGTTATCAAGTTAAAGGCCTGAGCTCCTCCTTAAATGACTATGTAGAGCTGTGCCGCCGATAATTGTTTAGAAGATATGAGGACAAATCGAACAACAGTTGCAACGAAGTGCGGCAACGCGAACGACGCGTGCGACGTCGCAACTTTCCTTTGCTCCGATTTCGAAGAGGAAAACCGGAGTTTCAATAATGATGTGTAGCATGTACAATATAGATACTTTTGGATACTACAGGGTGTCCCAAAAAAATGTTTAGAACGTTTGATCGTTAATATCTCTCTTCCCAAGAAGTCTTTTGCCTTGCTTCAGGTACCGTTTTGTAGAGCTAGCTTCAACTTAGATTTCCATTATAGGACGAATCACCCATCTCTCTTCATTACTGTAGGATTACGGTAGAAACTTGAAACATATGGTGTCAATGTGGAAAAAGCTGCCGTTTCAAAATTTTTCAAAAAATTGTGAAAACTTGTGCAATAGGGTTTTTATAGACGCTGAGTTACTCAACTATTCACAAGATTACGAAGCTTTCTAAACGGTGTAATCCCACTTTTTAGGAACATTGAAAAAAAGGCCGTTACCTCTCACCTGGCATAACTCTTCAATGAAGCATCATAATAAGTTGGGAACTTTACAGTTATAATCAGCAATTCTAATTAGCCTGGTGTAAAAGTTTTCAGGCTGTTTTGTTTCCTTTCTGAGGCAAAATATGGCCTTTCATGGTTCAAAACCCTCTTTGAAGTTTCTACCGTAACCCTACAGTAATGAAGAGAGATGGGTGATTCGTTCTATAATGGAAATCTAAGTTGAAGCCAGCTCTACAAAGCGGTACCTGAAGCAAGGCAAAAGACTCCTTGGGAAGAGAGATATTAACGATCAAACGTTCTAAACATTTTTTTGAGACACCCTGTATTAGAAACTGAGTTTTTGTTCCTATCTTTCAAGAAAGCACAGAAGTAGTTTTCAAGCGACAAAATTCAAACACTTCGAATTCACTCAGAACTTTGGGTATGGAGCTTATCTAACATGCTGGTTACAAATGCAGCACACAGTTCTGATATAAGGTCCCTTTGTTGGCTAACGGTTGAAAGTACACTCTTTTTCGCCGCGCGCGATTTCGCGGTCCGAAACGTGTTAAAGTCATTTTTCTTTCTCCGAAGTCGACGAAAAACCTCCAAAGTTGTGCAGATTATCTAACCCGACAGTGCTAAACATGTTGCTGATAAGAACAAATGATGTTTTGAAGTCATGAAATTCTCGATGATCCACAGGTCGAAATTTGAGGTTTACCGAGAAATTCGACTTTTCAAAAACTCATTTGTTCTCATTAGCAACATGCTTAGCATTGTTAGATGTTAGATGTTCAGTACAGCTTTGGAAGGTTTTCGTTAACTTCGGAGAAAGAAAAATGACTCCAAAGAAAAGCGTCGGGGATCATCAAGGATCATACAAAAGTTGGAAAATGCGGTTCGTACAGCTTCTCGCTCCTGTTCAACATGTTCATAGTGAAGGGTAGTAGGAATACTTACGGATAGGTACACAATGTAAAATCCAGGTATCTGAAGTTACAAAATATAAGCTTTCTTTTAAGCTGCGATCCCCTCCCCAGCGGGGAGGCTAATGCATGCGGCCCTAAGTCTCCATTACTGATAGCTCAGCTTGGGTAAAAGACTACATGTTGTTGAAGGGGGGGGGGGATGGGTTCCGCGCTAACATCTGCAACAATTACTTCCTTGCATTTATAAAAGTGCACATCTCCCTTTTCGGCAAATAAAATCTTCGCTCGACTTTGGATATAGGGTTATTGTCGCGCTCTGCTCTTGGTGCACTTCTCTCGCTTACTCCGTAAATGGAAAGGCTTACATACTAACCCGATGAAATGGGCATACAACTCTTTTGACCCAAAATTTTATCATCGCAGTAGAACTGGGTGACGACAACTGATGCCATGATGAGGTGCGCAAGATGCGAGAAGGAAAACATTGAGATTTCGCGGTTTGATTAGAGAGTTTTACCATATAAGGCCGAAGTTTAGTTACTGCTTATTGGCTGCAAGCATTCATTTGTGGTAGGCCCTTTTAAAATTGTAATAAAGAGTTGTAAGATACTATGAGCTCCTTTATAACAAAAACAAGGCTCCGTTAGTACAATGCTCATAATGCTTTGAATGCCATATACTGTATTCATGGATTTGTATTTTATGCCCCTCTTCTGAAAAACTTTTTTTTCCATCAAACTTTCTTTTTCGATGAAGATTTCCGCGCTCCTGAAAAGCTTTCTTCAAGTACTTTTTAACAGCGATGCAAATAGGCGTATACCCTCATCTGAGGATTTCTCCACCATTTTGCCCACTGCACTCAAAATTGAAACTTTATTGCTTCCACTTTTTGGTCACAATTCAGGCTCACATGAACGAATTTTTTTGAAAACATAGCTAATGTATGCTGATAATCAACGCCTCAAGGTAGATACTCGCTGTGGCATTCTGTGGACATCTCATTATTGAGGCAAAACCATCGCTCAATTCTGCTGCCTACAATTTTTGCGGAAGAACTTAGCTATGTCGTACATGAAGAATTCAAACTTCCATAATATGGAACTTTCAGGTTTCAGGTTTACCACAAGTAAGATCAAAAAAGTAAGAATTTTGTCGCACAACTCTTCGCTGAAGTCTTTTTTATAAGCACGCTAGTTTGGAGCCATTCCATCATGCTTGGCCTTCCATGTGGCGAAAGTTACCCTTGTTTTGATAAATTTTAAAATTATTTTAGTTAGTTACAAGAACAAACAAGTCATCTGCACATTTTTATAACCCAAATAAGTAAATTTCAACAATTTTGCGACCCATCCCCGCCAGGGCTTAGCAGAGGTGGCGCTTTCACACGCTGGATATCGTTTTCTGGGGGAAAAGCAAAAGGGAGATCGTAATGTCCTCAAGGGGGATTTACGAATTTGATAGGATAGCAGACACAATTCCCACACATAGTAAGACCGAATTTGAGGCTTTAGGTACATTCAAACACAAACAGGTCTAACTTGTTACAAACACGACCAGTGCACCAACTTGTGTTCACACAATTCCCAACGTGTTAAAACATGATTTTTATGCACAAAAGATAAACAATTACTTTTTACAACGACTAAGCAATATTGAGCCATCAGATTTGGTGTGTAGCTTCAGACGATGAGGAATAGGTAAGTATGAAAAATTATGAAAAAATTATGTGAATGAAGGATTGTAAGTGTTTTTCTATTTTAGGTTGCTCCCGCGCATACCTTCGTTAGTCTAGAGTCAGGGCGCCAAAAGTGAAGGTTGTTTGAACATCTGACGTCATGAATAGTGAAGGTTGTTTAAAAAAGATCAGAGAAGAGAGAATGACGCAAAATAGATATAAAAAGCAGAAGAAACCGCTGAAAACCGGATAAAAACGCTGCAATGAGGTTTGAAATCTTTCATTTGGCGGCCTTTCAAGGTGCAAGTTTTCGCTCCAGGACCAACAATTCGCAACACGGACTTTTGATTTTAGATGCGTCCTTTAAATTTTTACCCCCCCTGCAATGGCGGTCCTGTTTCCTGGGACGTTGTCTGGATTGTTGCGCTTATTGTTCTGAGCAATAATCGCCCAAGCTGGAATAAAATCGATGCGAAAGCACTGGAACAGGGCAAGGTAGAAAAAAACGCACTTTTTACGATTTTTTGCAAAAAATTCCACCATAATCGAAGAGGTAAGGGCTGGGTGGTTGTCTGTATTATGAACAGAAGCAAGATCTACAGAATGCACGAAAAACCGCGTGAAAAGTTAAACTAGGAGAAAAACAAGAGATTTTCGAAAACAAGGTTTTTGGGGGATTTCTCGATCAAATCAAAAAATGTGGTTCTGGGACGTTGTCAGCGTGAAAATAGAGATCAAGAGCTTTGAAATGATATATAGCTTGCTATAATTAGGTTAGAAATAACAAAGAAAAGGGTACCAGAGCCATGCCCGCGCCCCGCGTTTGGAGTAGCGAGGTAGCGTGCAGCGCGCGGAGACGCAGACGAGCAGCGGAGACAGACCAGAGCCGACGGGGCATTTGGCTCTGATCGTAGATCGCGGAGTCTCAACGAAACCCTGCAACATTATATATAATTCTGATCGTCATGACACGACGAGGAGAACTGGCAACGTCCCAAGCTTTGAAAATCACTCCTTAACGAGATAGACCAGCATTTTCGGGCGTGATTTTCTGCGCA